AGCTTGAACTTGGTAGCAGTTTCACGGCTGGAGGGCGGGTGGTTTTCAAATCGTGGTTCTTGCCTTAGTGCCTCGCGCAGTCGTTCTAAAGTTGCATCGGTTGCAAGGGCGGAGGGTAGGCTATCTTCAGCGCGTGGTTTTCGCCTCAGCGCCTCGCTCCTTCGTCTTCCAGCTGTGCAGCAGTTTTGAAGATGCAGTGTGGCTCGTTTTCAAAATGCGGCTTTCGCATCAGCGCCGGGCACACTCGTCTTGAAAGGTTGCAGGAGTTTCAAGGATGGAGGGCGGTGCGTTTTCAAATTGCGTGTTCTCGCCTTGGCGCCGTGCGCACTTGTAAGTTTGCGGCGTTTTCTGGGATGGATGGAGGTTCGTTTTGAAGCAGTGGCTCTCGCCGTAGCGCCGCGCACATTCGTCGTAAACGTTCGCAACAGTTCCAACCATGGAGGGCGGTTCGTTTTCAAAATCTGGCTCTCGCCCTAGCGCTGCGCACATTCGTCTTGAAAGTTCGCGCAGCACGTTCAAGGCTTCACATGGTTGAAGTCCCAGGTATGACGGTCTGGGACGTTTTAGGAATGTCAGGATGCAGAAGTCAGGTTGATTCGCGGTGTTGACGTAATCGGGGTGGCATTCTGGTGCGATTTAGAACTGCTGGGGCGCAATAGTCATGTTGATTCGTGGCGCTGAAATCCCAGGAATTGCTTTTTGGCACGATTGAGGATTCTCAGACGGTTGTCTTCCATTGGGGCACTTCCCGCAGTGGAAGTACATGTTGGTTAGGCTCTATGAAACGTCAACTTGGAGGGAGGGTTGATTGCAACATCGTTGGTGCGTCTTGGGTTAGCACTGGTCCTCCTCCTCTTCGTCGTCCTTCTCCTCCTCCTCCTCCTCCTCTTCCTCCCTTCCTTCTCTTGCCTTCGTGAGCGCATTCGCAATCGTCGCCACTTCGTGAGCTCCTGGGATGTCCAGCGGAGCCGAGGAACACACCCAGTCGAGACCTTGCGGCTTCCTAGGGGCTGCCGCGCAACCGTTGACACCTTCGTGGGCTCGTGGGTGGTCAGCGGAGCGGATGTGCACGCAGATCCAGAGGAGACCTCGCGGCTCTCCTTGCAGGCTGCCGCCTGCACAATTGTCGTCACTTTCGCGGGCTCGTTGGAGATCCAGCAAAGTGGAGGTGTACGCAGATCCATATAGGCGACCTCGCGGCTGCCTGGGGGGCTGCCAGCTGCGCAACCGTCGTCAATTTCGTGGGCTCCTGGGAGGTCCAGCGGAGCGGAGGTGTACGTGGATGCAGACGAGATTTCGCTGGTCCTCCGGGTGGCTGCCAACTGCACAACCGTTGTCACTTTCGCAGGCTCCTGGGAGGTCCAGCGAAGCGAAGGTGTACGCATATTCAGACAAGACTTCGCGCCTTCTCCTGGGTGGCTTCCAACCGCGCAGCTGCCGCCACGTTCGTGGGCTTTTGTGAGGTCCAGCGGTGTGGGGGTTTTACGCAGATCCAAACGAGATCTCGCGGCTCCCCTGGGGGTTTGCGAACTCCGCAATTGTCGCCAGTTTCGTTGGCTTCAGGAGGTCCAGCGAAGCGGAGGTGTACGTGGATCCAGACCAGAGCGGCGCTTTTGGGGGGCCTGACTACTGAACAGTCGCCACTTTCGTAGGTTTCTGGGAGCTCCGGTGGAGCGGAGGTGTACGTAGATGCATACGAAACCTCGAGGTTCCCTGGGGTGCTCTCGTCGTTGTCTTTTTTTGCGTTCTGAGTTGCGCGAGTGCGTGCGAAAACGAGAAGTGTGGAATGTGGTCCGACGTTGCTTGGTGAAGCATTCAAGAGTGCTGCAGATCTCTCATTGTGCTCTTTTGCATGGGGCGCTCCCATTGGATAGTCGCCTCGCGTTTCGAAAGTGTTGGGTACGTCTCGGGTATTTTTTGTTGGTCTCCAGAGGCGTCCTGAGGCTTCTGGACGCTTCCAGGCTTCTGGAGACTTCCGGAGACCTTAGAGAGTGGGCGTTCACCATGAAGAGAAGGGGTCCTGAGGAAAAGGGGGCTCCTGGAGCCCCCCCAGACCCACTAGAGAGAGAGAGAGAGATTTTGCATGCACGCGCACACACATGTATTGTCAATTTCAGTGTATGTTTGTATATACATAGACAGAGGGAGGGAGGGAGGGAGGCGGAGAGAGAGGGAGGGATAGAGAAACGGATACATAGAGAGAGAGGTATAGAGAGAGGGAGCCGGGCTTCAAGCACACACGCACACATGCCGTGGCCTCGACCTGGAGTCGCAGCACTGCCTCGCTGCTGCTCGCCAGGCCGCGGCGGCTGCGGCAAAAGTCTGCCAGGGTGCGAAGCTGGTCTCGGGGAGAGCCCCGAGGTCCTGAGAATTGACTCGGCGAGATCAAGGGAGAACCACATGGTTTTGCCTCTGGCTTCGGGGCTTTCCAGAGCTTATGAAGAGCAGCAGTCAGACACTCTGCAAGCCGCTGGGCCTGGGTCGCGGTGAGCGCCATCCGAATCCAAAATGCCTACTGCCGGGCATGATGGGGAATCTGAAAGCCAGGGGTTGATCATTCAAACGCCACGTCGGGGGACCGACCTATGCTGAAACGCAGCGCTCGGGGACCGACTTCCTGTGATACAAACGCTGCCTGATTCGTACCGTCGCCAGCCTGGCAATACAGATAAACAGATACAACCTCCGCCGCACCCAACCAGCCGCCACTACGTTGCAGCACGCTGCGCTACCTGGAAAGTCAGTGGGGACGAGACCACCCATGCAGAACGGATTTGGGGAACCTTGCCGAACAACCTGTTCAGGGTGTCAAGTGACTGCTCAGAAATTCATGGAACAATCTGGGAATCCCCACGCGGGCCCGCACGGGGTCAAGGGAGCACCTCACCCACATCTTCCAGCCCCAGGCCCATTTTGGACCGGCGCTCACTGTTAGGCTTGGGCGACCGCGCGCTGAGATGCTTGACGTACGTTCTTGGGAAGCCGAGTCGCAATGGCCTGCCGAGGAACACGCCGCGGGCCTCGGCGCTGACGACCGCGCTCGAAGAGTGTCTGTCTAGCCTCGCAGGCTCGGCCTGCGGCCACGCTCTGTGCACAGACATGGGGCACGATGAATTACACGGGAGTGGGACTCCTAAGCTGGTGGGTTTCCAAATGGCCTCGTAATCCAAAAGACCATGCTCTTGAAACCTAGGGCCCTTGAAAATGTGGATGTCCAGGAAATCCACCCCGCGCAAAGAATTGCCTTCCACCTTACATCTGAGACACGCGTCGTTTTGCACTAGCCACTGATGGCACTGCCAATAGCTCCGCATCACCCCTTCCGCAATGATGAGGATGTCATCCTTGCAGCGGCAGTGCAACAGAATGCCGTGTTCGTTCAGCCACGAGCTGCTGTCGACACCCCTTTCAAGACTATCGTAAAATCCTGCGTCGGATAAGTCTCCAGAGTAGTTCATGCCCATGCCCGAGCCAGCAGTGATTTTCCAGAGCAGGTCGGGGAAGAAAGCGCTTGTGATGTAGGGGTGTTCCAGAAATAACTCTGATACACGACGAACAGCAGGCTTTAGATGAGGAGGCGCCACTCGCTCTGCACCTGACACAAGTGTGGTCGGGTCTCCGGACATGAAGAAGTCCCGCACGTCAAACCGGAGAAAATCAGCATTATGGGCGAATGGGGTCGTGTTCAGAACCTCGATCAATTGGTCAGTGTTCGCCAGTATGTACGGTTTGTGCTTCAATTGGTCTTTGAGATCGTTTTTGATAGCCATGTTCCCAGGCCACGAAACGAATGATGCCTCCGAGTATGCAGGATCCTGAATGCAATCTCACCTTGGACTTGGTGCGTCTTCAACGTCTCCCCCACTTTGGCTGCGACCTTCTTTTCACCCCCCTCCAAGGACTGCAAGAGAGATGGACCATCCACCGTGGGGTCGTCTTCAGACACCTGCTTGACGACTTCACAATCCTTAGAAGTAGTATTTCTCAAATGAGCGGGGAAATCTCTTCATAGTTTGTCCCAGCAAGGGTGTTCCTGTGCGCCTCAATGAGGTCCACCTTCCTCACCAAGGCATGATTCCCTCCTTGTCAGGTACCACTGGGACCCATTCAATATTACGAAGCTGACGAATGGCAAGGCGCACTAATCCATAGGTATTCGGCCGCTTGCGGACTCCGTTGTATCGCATGCCTTTAAGCATCCTGTCCAACTGTGGTGGAACCAGATGTTGGAATGGAGCCACTGAGGTCCTCGTCGATTTTACTCTGAACTTGTCGGTCCTCTCGTGACCCTGGAAGTGCCAATGCCACAACATTTTGTTGCCTCGCCTGTTGTAGCATTTGGGATATCAGGGAAAATTGGGCAAGAGCTTTAAGAGTGAATATATTTTTTTGTGGAACGTCGAAAGGACAAAAACTACTGGCTATGGTACTTTGCGAAATGACGGATGCCGGCAGCTCGCGTTGTCAGAATCATAGAGATACACCTGCCCACGATGTGCATCATCCAACAATTGAGCGAAACCCCCAATCGGCATGCCGTCCACTAGACGCATGAATTCAAGGTTTACTTGGAACTCGTGCCCTTGCCTCCAAGGCGTCCTTCTTTGCCTCCTACTTTGTTCCCTTTTGGGTCGGTCCCCCAATGGTTGGAGGCCTTCCTCTTTTCACTCTCGTACACTGTCGTCTTGCCTTTGCCTTTTTTTGTGCCATTGTTGGCCCAGGTCCCTTCGGAACCTGGGGTTCGCCCGTTTTTTGGCTTCCGAGGGGCTTGATTCCGATCGTCGTTTCTCGCACTCAGCTCGGACTTCGTGAACGTACTCTTGCATGGGACTTCGTGCACGCAGTCCGCTGCAACACTGCCAGTCTGGTAGGCCGTCCAGTCCAGGGACCGGTTCGTGGTGGCCTTCATGACTTGTTTTACGGCCTCTGCGAACCTTGTGGCCGGCGGAGTCTCCAACAGCGTTTCGATGCGGGCTGCCTGCTTCTCCTGCTTCTTTTTGCTCCTCCAGCTTGGCAGGGACGGGCACAGAGCAGGAGCGAGGAAGAAGGACGGGGAGGCCAGGATGGGCCCGGCGGCGGGAGGGGGCAGGGCGGCTGTGGCCTGACCGGCATGTCTCCTTGGCGTTGTGCCTGTGAAGGGTATAGTGTGGCGAGCAGACACTGTTTGCTCGAACCAGTGGCGGCAGTAGTTGCAGATCGTTCCGTCGAGGGTCCAGCCCACTTCCCCCAAGCATGTGTTCGACTGGGGTGGCGTGGGTGCGTCTGCCTGCGAGCCCCGAGCACATGGGTTCGCGCGCCAGCCCTCGTGCATGGGCCAGTGCTCAAGTCGAAATCACGCGCCAGTTATGTTTATGTTGGCTTCTCGTTCCCTAAGAGTAATAATAAGAATAATAATAAGACTAATAATACTAAGAAGAATAATAAGACGAATAATATTAAGAAGAATAAGACGAATAATAATACCAATAATAATAAGAACAAACATAATAATATTAATAATACTAAGAATAATCATAATAAAATAATAATATTACTAACAATCAGAATAAAACTATTAAGAATACTAATACTAATCATAATAATAATACTAATAATTAATATTAATAATACGAAGAATAATAATACTAATCATAATAATAAGAATAAGAAGAATAATAATAAGAACACTAAGAATAAGAAGAAGAAGAGGAGGAGGAGGAGGAGGAGGAGCAGGAGGAAGAGGAGGAGGAGGAGGAGGAGGAGGAGGAGGAGGAGGAGGAGGAGGAGAAGGATCAACTTCCGGGGACCTCGACCGGCGGTGGACATGGACATATTCGGGCCCCTGGGGGCCCGAACGTGTCCACATATCCAGCGCCCGCTGGGGTGCCGGGACGTCGGTTCCCAGGCGGTGGGTGTGGACAAATCCTTGCCTTGGATTCCCGTCCCCGTCCGGCCCTCCCCGGCGCAAGCGGCCGGGTTGCAAGGAGTGCCAGCTGCGTTGCAAGTTGTGCTGGCAAGGCAATGCCTGGGGTGAGTTTTTTTTTTTTTTTTTTTTTTTTTTTTTTTTTTTTCTCTCTCTCTCTCTCTCTTCCTGTGCGATATGTGCTTGGCCAACTCCTGGCACAATTCGCTACATCGGTACCCCCGTTCAGTTGGCTCTCCGCCGGCGCATCCACTCTGCCTAGCCGCCGACGCAAAAGAGAAAGTTCTTGGCCAACTCCCTCCCCTCCTTCTTCCCCCACCCCTCCTCTCCTCTCCCTCCGACGTCGTCGGCGGGCTTGGCCGAGTGCGCGCCCCCTGCCAGCGGCTGGCAGCGCCCACCACCCGAGTGGGGCTGGGCTCTCCTCCCCTTTCCTCGACCTCCCTCCCTCCCCATTGGCAGTTCCTCGGCTTGTCCATGACTCGCCAGACGAGGAGGAGGAGGAGGAGGAGGAGGAGGAGGAGGAGGAAGGAGGAGGAGGAGGAGGAGTGAGGAGCTGCTCAACGGCGGCCCGCTCGCGGACCTGGCAGTTTGTTCAGTGCTCCTCCCCTCTCCCTCCCTGCCCTCCCCCGGGAGGCGCGGCGCCGCCGGCACAAGCAGCCAGGGTTCATACCCTGGAACACGGTGGTGCTGGGGAGCCCCGCGCCCGCGCGGGGGGCGGGCGCTCCCGGGCGCGCCGGTCGCCCAGGCGGGCAGCGAAGATTCGAAGAAGGAAAAACGCCATGAATATAAACTTCTGGCGCTCCGCGCGGATTTCTCGGATCCGCCCTGGGCCCCCCCGGCGGCGCCTCCGGCGCCGCCCCTGGCGCGTGGAGCGCGCCAGGGTCGGGGATCCAGCGCGGATCCAAGAAACCCGCGCTGAGCGCCAACAGTGTATGTTTATGGCGTTGTTTCTTCTTCTAAAGACGGCGCCGACCACGTCGTCGTGGTTTTTCATCCAACACCACTCCCCCTTCCCAACGTCAGGGAAGGTGAGGTTGGTGAGTGGGTGTGGTTGGTGATGTTGGTGGGTGGGGGCGTTGGTGTGGTTGGTGAGGGGGTGTGTCTGGGGGCCTTGCGACATGTCTGCTCATGCGTGCCTCTCCAAGGGAGTAGAGCTCAGAGGCGATGATAGTGTTGTTCGCGATTTGTCTGGCCGATTCGCTCAGGACCTCATGAGCATTTTGGCAATCGGGCCCACCCTCACGCATATTGGTACGTCAGGGTGAAAACCACAAATGCATGGTCAACATTTCAACATCGAGCATTCAAACACGCATGGACTTCAATGAGTCTTCACATACTTGCTTATTTCCAATCAGCCTTGTACAATCAAGACATTCCAACACAGTGGAAACGAGTACACACAACCGATATAGAAGCTTGAGCTTGTCTTCCGTTCCCAGTGTAGTTATCAATTTTGCTCTAACCTTCTGTTGCATGCCCATTGGGGTCCTGTTCAACACTTCGTCCATTCGCAAGCTGCGGCAACCCCATCGTTGATCCACCATTGCTTTTAGTATGTGCCTGGGCACGCACGTGTCACTTGTGTATAATATAAACATATATGTGTTACTTATCATCATTATCATTACCATCGTTAGTATTATGATCATCATTATTATTCTTATTATGAATACTACTATTTTCATTCGTATGATTATGATTCCTATCATTGTTACTACTGTTTTTATTATTATTATTATCATCCGTCGTATTCGTATTCATATTATTATTATTATTGTTATTGCTATTGCTATTATGTTCCCGTGCACGGGGGGCCTCTTGGGGCCTCTTGGGAGCCTCTTGGGGCCTCTTGGGGGCTTCTTGGGGGCTTCTTGGGGCCCTCTAGGGACGTCTTCGGGCGTCTTGGGCCGAGCTGAGGCCATCTTGGGCGAATTGGGGCACTCTTGGGCCTTTTCGTAAGCATGCCCGGCCCTCTTGGGCGCTTTTTGGCCCATGTTTGGCTGGCTGCGCTACCGGAGGACGCGCGCGACACGCCAGGGGAATCCCGGGGACTCCCCGGAAATCCCGGGAAATCCTGGGGAATCCCAGGAATCCCCGGAAATCACCGGAAATTTGTGTGAAGCTGGTGGCGCGTGCCTTTAAAGCTTTTTAAGCCCTACATCTCTGAACCTTTCAGGGCTGCATGAGCCTTGGGGCACTCTACTACGTGCTGCAGGCACGGTGGCGGATATGTGGTGCAAACTATGTGACTCAATTTCTGTTGAGCAATACGTGGTTCGCAAACAAAGTTGTGCAGATACCCGAGACGGGGATGTATCCATAACCTTATCCATAACCACTGCCTGTGGGACTGATCTTCGCGGACCTCCACAGGCGGTGGATATTGATATATTCGGGCCCCCAGGGGGCAAAGTGTTTCCATATCCGCTGCTCGCTAGTGCACAAACGACGTCGGTTCCCAGGCGGTGGATATGGATAAGTCCCTGCCTCTCAATATATGTTGTGCGATCTATGTTGTGCGCGATCTATGTGGTGCAATCTATGTGATGCAATTCATTAGTGGAGCTCGCAGCTGTCAACTCCACTGCTCGCGCAATCTTCCCACCCGCCCACCCTCCCAAACCCATGCGGCGGCGATTGCGATAAGTGCTAGTAGGTGTTGGCTGGTGCATCTCTGCGGACGCGCTGGCCCGCGCATGCTCGAACGCGCAGCATCATCTAGTTCGGCGCGACCGACCGCGGTGGCGCTGATCGCTGGGCACTTCCAAGCGGGCACTTCAGTGCGAGTCGGTGGCTTGGGCGGGCGCGGTATCGTGGCGACGTCGACAACGACAGGCACGGTGATCGTAGCCATGCTGGTGATGATGGCGATGACGACGGCAAGGCCAATGACGGCGCCGATGCTGATCACGCCCGCCAGTGACGATGACAATGTCCTCGCGTCGGTGATGAAGGTTTTGGAAGGATTTCGACATGCGCGCACGGCCGACGCGTGTGAATGGCCCGCTTGAGTGATGTGACAGGGATCGTGCCCCCCCCCCCAGCGCGCTCACAAAGGGGTTCGAATGATTTCGACATGCGGCGCGAAAGGCCCGTTTGGGCGAATTACATGGAAATATTGATTAGCGCGTCGTAGCGCGCAGATTTTTCATACGGATGTTGTAAAGCCAATGTGTGTGTGTGCGTGTGTGTGCTGGTGTGTGTGTGTGTGTGTGTGTTTGTGTTTTCGGAACTGCTGGTATTCATGTCCTTGCGACATCCAAGTTTTTTGAACGATTTCGGCATGCGCGCGTCGACGCGCGCGTGTGCACTTCGTCCCGTGGTTGCAGGGGTTCTTGCGGCAGCGCGCGCGCAAAAGGGTGTCGATTTCGGCATGCGCGCGCGAGGGTCACGTTTGGTAGAATTCGGTGAGACAGATGAACAAACTATGGTTCGCTGAAGGACTCGCAAGAACGCGGGCTCATTTATTCTCTTTTAAAGAAGTCTTATTGAAAAACCACTGCTCGTTGTTCTAGCTGTTCGGGGCATTCGGCTTTGAATTCAATTTTTTTTTTTTTTTTTTTTTTTTTTTTTTTTTTTTTTTTTTTTGTTTTTTTTTTTTTTTTTTTTTTTTTTTTTTTTTTTTTTTTTTTTTTTTTTTTTTTTTTAAAAAAAAAAAAAATATTATTATTTTTCATATATATATATACACATATATGTATATATATGTATATATATATATATATATATTCAAAAAAAAAGGTGCTATAACATATTATATTATATTATACAATATTATATTGTATTATATTATATTACATTACATATTATATTATATTAAATTATATCCTACTGGATTGTATTGTACTGTATTCGGTTATATTATATTGTATTATAACATATTTTATTATAATATATATTATGGTCTATTATACTACATTATAGTATCTTATATCATATGTTATTGAATATGTTATGCTTTATTATATGATATTATTTTATATGTCATTGTACGTATGTATGTTTTTTTTATTTACTTATGTATTCATTTAATATACAAATAACGGGTTTTGGCATGCGCGATCGACGTCGCGCGCGTGTGCATTTCGTTGCAGTCGTGGCAGTTTTTTTTTCAATATTTTCACTCGAAACTGATGGTTTTGATGAACGACTGTGCACGCATAGTATCTCCTGCGGGAGATGAGGGGGGGCTTGAGCAGCGTGGGGTTGGGATGGTACGAATTCATTTTTTTTTTTGACGGGTCATTGGACAATGTCGTATGCAAATTGCACTGCGCCCCCCCCAAAAAAAAAACCACGACATCCGAATTTCAGGCGGGATGTGCACCCGAATCTTCTTTGAGGAAAGAGTGTCTGCGTTGTGCAACCTATGTTGTGCATTCTATGTCGTGCAATCCATGTGGGCAGGGGACTGGGCCGCGACGGCGGCCACATAGCCACCAAAACGGCACACTGGCCCAAACGACGGTCGGCGACGAGGCGGCCACGGGGCGGCGACGGCGGCTACATAACCGCCAGACAGACAGACAGGCCAAGACGACGGTCAGCGACGAGGCGGCGACGGGGCGGCGACGGCGGCTACATAGCCGCCAGACCGACAGGCAGGCCCAGACGATGGACGGCGACGAGGCGGCGACGGGGCGGCGACGGTGGCAGCACAACAGCCAATCCGATATATATATATATATATATATATATATATACATACATATATATTTATTCATATATATATATATGTATATATTCATATATATATATATGTATATATTTATATATGTATATGTATATGTATATATATATATATTCATATATATACATATATGTGTACATATATTCTAGTATATATATGTATATATAGACACACACACATCTAGTGTATATATATATATATATATATATATATGTATATTTGTATTTATATACAAACATACACACATACATACATATGTATGGACGATCCCCCCCGGGACCCACCAAGACGCTCAAAACACGAAGCCGCCGAAGTGGCCGCTTCACGAGACTGTGCAGTCGCTTTCCATGCTTGCTTCGATGCTTTTTACAACCAATTCTGTAGCTTGTGATCTTGGCAGACGAACGGCTTGCCACAGGAGTCATTCCTGTTTTCACAGGAGTCTTTACTGCCGATCCCGTAAATCACGGCATCCCTATTCGAAACTCCTTACCATAAGGGGTCCTCACTCAGTCTGCCTTATTCGAAGAGTCTGGGCTAAGGATTCCTACAAAACAAGGGGTAGTACGGGCTCTTTACTGAAGGAGCGGGCCCTAGGTGGCAGGAAGTCCTGAGTATGATTGTTGTTTTCCCGGGTCTGAAAAGCAGCGAACCACTGTGTATGTTTTTGTTCGTGTTGGAAGCTCAGGTGCTCACCACGGGTACCCCCCAGCACTCCTTTCTGAGCTTTCAGAATCAGGAAACCAAACATGCACGGTGTGGTACGCCCTCCAGGCCACATATTTTTTTGTGTTCTTCTTCCTTCTGCTTCTTCTTCTTCTTCTTTGTTGTTTTGGTTTTGGAAGCAATGTTTTTTTGTGTTTTCGTTTTTGTTTTTTGTTTTCTTGGTTTTTGGGGCTGGGGCCCCCTTGAGCTTCATACATACAATGTCGGGCGCCTCGGCGCTACGAAACGCTGTGTATGTTTTGTTTTTTCCCCACATCCAAAGTGGGGTTCTTG